CTCCTTCTCCTTCACTGTATTTCCTTCAACACCAGCTTGCTGTTTGCACAGATGAACTCTGCTTTCCCTTTAATTAACACACTACTTTGTCTCACTATAGAAAACATCACCCCCACCTCCAGTGGGGGAGTGTCCTCCCACAGGCCTTGGAGGACTTGGTGGGGGTCCCCCGCTCACTGAACTTCAAGTCCAAAACATTCTCTTATATTGACAAAGGCTTTTGTTTTCTTTCTTTCCTTCTTTTTTTTCTTTTTTTGAGACAGAGTTTCGCTCTTGTTGCCCAGGCTGGAGTGCAATGGCGCAATCTTGGCTCACCATAACCTCCGCCACAGTGATTCTCCTGCCTCAGCTTCCCAAGAAGCTGGGATTACAGGCATGCATCACCACACCTGGCTAATTTTGTATTTTTAGTAGAGATGGGGTTTCTCCATGTTGGTCAGGCTAGTCTCGAACTCCCGACCTCAGATGATCTACCCACCTCGGCCTCCCAAGTGCTGGGATTACAGGGCTGAGCCACCTCGCCTGGCCCTGACAAAGCCTTTTCACACACACTCTCTCATTCAGTCTTGACACAACCCTGTGAGGTCAGCAAGACAAGTGTTGTCCTCCATGGCCACCACCAGAGTGAAGGAGCCAGCCTTGGGCCCAGGTCTCTTTCCCTAGTCCAGGGTCTGTTTTCTACACAGATCCCACCTGTCGCTTCTTACGGAGAAAGGCAGTGGCAGGTAGTCACTCTCTCAGAAGTGACCAGAGGGAACAACCTTGTGATACTGAAGGGAATTAGATGCTAACGTGTTATGTAATTGAGTGCCTATAAGCAGAGATGACTTGGGTCTCTCCTATTGAAAGCTGACAGCAAGGACTCACCACCAGCCACCGCTAACATGCAAGAGCAAGGTGTTAACTCGCAGTGGGAGCAGATTTGTATTTATTAGGACCTGTGGCCAGATGCAGCCTGTGGCCATGGAACAGGACAAGATGAACTGACCTCTGCTGGTTCTGCCAGGCTGATGCTGACCACATGGGAAGCCAGCTGGCTTATTTGTGGCGCTGAGGAAATGAGGGCTGAGCAGGGAGGTGCTCAAAGCGGGCTTCTTACATTGGCTATCTGGAGTCACTGTGGGAAGGGCCCAAGGGAAGAAGGGTTGCTGTGGCCCCTAAATCCCCCTCCAGCTGGAGGCAGAGCCTCATCCATTCCCAGAGAGAGTCTCTTGTCACAAGCCCCGATAGAGCCCTGGCTGACCAGGAGTGCAAGGCTCAGTGGGAACCAGGGATCTGCATTTAACCCTTGTTGGGAACCATCGCATTACCTTCCCCAAGCCGCCATGCGCCTCCCATTTCATCTCTCTGGCCTGAGTGCTGGCACCTCCATATGGTGGTGAGTAGTCCCTTCAGAAACGCTGCAGTTCTTCTCGGAAGGATGGTCAGTTACTAAACTTCAATGAATGTGCATTTACTAGAAGGGCCACGTGCAACAAAACTGATCTTTCTCATGCAAATCCTCAGGACCACACATTCAACGAGCACTCCAAGAAATTCAAGTGATACAACTCCTCACTGATTTGCCTAGGCTCAGAGGGAGATCCAAGTCCTAACGGCCAATGTGAAGGGTCCCAGTGGTACAGCTGGGTGATTACAGGCAGTAAGAGTAGTAAAGACTACTTTTTGAACACTCTTTTTGAAATTGTCTTTTTTTTTTTTTTCCAGACAGAGTCTTGCTCTGTTTCCCAGGCCGGAGTGCAGTGGCAGGATCTCCTCACTGCAACCTCCACCTCCTGGGTTTAAGTGATTCTCCTGCCTGTAATCCCACAACTCTGGGAGGCCAAGGCGGGCAGATCATGAGGTCAGGAGGTCAAGACCAGCCTGGCCAATATGGTGAAACCCCATCTCTACTAAAAATACAAAAATTAGCCAGACGTGGTGGTGGGTGCCTGTAATTCCAGCTACTCAGGAGGCTAAGGCAGGAGAATCACTTGAAACTGGAAGGCTGAGATTGCAGTGAGCCGAGATCATGCCACTGCACTCCAGCCTGGACAACAAGAGTGAAATGCTGTCTCAAAAAAACAAAAAACCATATGGTATCCTGGATTAAATGTTCATAGCAGCATTATAAATAACAGCCAAAGAGTAGAAACAACCCAAATGTCCACCAACTGATGAATGAATGGATAAACTAAATCTGAAATATTTATAAAATGGAATATAAATTAGCCGTAAAAAGAATGAAGTACTGATGTATTCTACAAGAATGAACTTTGAATACATTATGTTAGGTAAAAGAAGCCAGACACAAGAAGTCACATATTATATGATTCTATTTTTATGAAATGTCTAGAATAGGCAAATCCATAGAGACAGAAATTAGACTAGTAGTTCCCAGGGGCCGGGGGAAGGTAGAAATGGCAGCAGACTGCCAATAATATGACGGTTCTTTTTGGGGCAATGCGAATCTTATGGAATTAGATACTGGTGATGGAGGCTTCAACTTTGTGAACGTCCTACAAATCACTAAAGTGTACAAGTTAAAGGGTAAATTTGATGGTATGTGAATCATATCTCAGTTTTAAAAATATATATTTTATGGCCTATATTTAGAGAAAGGGACTGGACTACATGGTATCTTTCCAAAAGTTTTAAGGAACTCCCGTAAATTTGATAGCTAGTTTAAAAAAATTTTTGATAGCTAGTTATGAAAATAATCCAAACCTCAATTATCAAAGGTTGAATAGTTTTCAGATTGAATTTAAAGTTTGGGCCAAATGTCACTCTGCCTTTCTCCTCCCTCCCTCCTTCTCTTATTACCTTTACCAGGTTATGTTTTTTTCTTTTTTTAGAGACGGAGTCTCACTCTGTCACCCAGGCTGGAGTGCAGTGGTGTGATCTCAGCTCACTGCAACCTCTGCCTCCCGGGTTCAAGTGATTCTCCTGCCTCAGCCCCCTGAGTAGCTGGGATTACAGGAGCCTACCACCACACCCAGGTGGTTTTTTGTATTTTCAGTAGAGACAGGGTTTCACTGTGTTGGCTAGGCTGGTCTCAAACTTTTGACCTCATGATCCACCCACTTTGGCCTCCCAAAGTTCTGGGATTACAAGCATGAGCCACCGCACCCGGCCCTTTTACTAGGTTATGTTTTAAGCAATAAATAGATTTCACAAAACTATTTGCCTGGTGTAAGAATGATTTCTCCAAGCAAAACTGCAAATAAAATTAGTTTATGCACAGATTTTTAAAACTATGATAATTTGTCAGTACTCAAAAGAAGTCATTTGTCCTAGGTTACATAAGTCTAATCAGTATTACAGTGCCCTCTTTACAAACAACTTGTACATGTTAATTTTTTGTAACTGTTATTTTACATGAAATTTTAAACTTACAGAAAAGCTGCAAGAATACTACAAAGATTCCCATAGCTCTTCCCCAATTGTTAACATTTGCTTTCTCTTTCTCAATGGATAGATAAATAGATAATTGATAGATGATAGATAGATAGATAGATAGATAGATAGATAGATACACATATATATATACACACATTTAATTTTGTTTCAGTGTGTATTTTCTAAGATAAAAAATCCAGGAAGTTTACATTGAGGGCCAAGTGTGGTGGCTCACGTCTATAATCTTAGCACTTTGAGAGACCTAGGAGGTTGGATCCCCTGAGCCCAGAAGTTCAAGACCAGCCTGGGCAACATTGCAAAACCCAGTTTTTGTTATTGTTGTTGTTGATGTTGTTTTAGATGGAGTCTCGCTCTGTTGCCAGGCTGGAGTGCAGTGGTGCAATCTCTGCTCATTGCAACCTCCGCCTCCCAGGTTCAAGTTTTTCTTCTGCCTCAGCCTCCCAAGTAGCTGGGACTACAGGCGCATACCACTAGGGCCAGCTAATTTTTGTTGTGGTGGTTTTGTTTTGTTTTGTTTGAGACGGAGCCTTGCTCTGTCACCCAGGCTGGCGTGCAATGACGTGATCTTGGCTCACTGCAACCTCTGCCTCCCTGGCAAGTGATTTTCCTGCCTCAACCTCCTGAGCAGCTGGGATTACAGATGCATGCCACCATGCTCAGCGAATTTTTGTATTTTTAGTAGAGATGGGGTTTCACCATGTTGGCCAGGCTGGTCTTGAACTCCTGACCTCATAATCTGCCCACCTTGGCCTCCCAAAGTCCTAGGATTACAGGCATGAGCCACAGTGCCCAGCCATTTTTGTATTTTTTTATAAAGACAGGATTTTGCCACTTTGTTCAGGCTGGTCTTGAACTCCTGAGATCAAGCGATCCACCCCCCTTGGCCTCCTAAATTGTTGGGATTACAGGCATGAGCCAGCGCACCTGATCACAAACAATTTCCAAAGCAAAGGAGACTCTTTGCAGCTGCTGTATGTTCTGCTTCCTCACTGTCAGTGTTCTCTTGTTACAAAATACAATCATCTCCATTCATGTTGTTTTTATGAATGAATCGGTTTTTACCACTGTCTTCCTATGACCAGGTCTAGAAAACCATGTTGTCTTATCTGCCTAAAAAGGCAACATCACATCTTCATGGAGAAGGGATGGCTATGCAGTAGACTCACAGCGTTCCATCATAACTAGTTAGAATGCATCAGTTTTGGGCCATACGCGGCGGCTCATGCCTGTAATCCTAGCATTTTGGGAAGCCATGGCGGGCAGATTATGAGGTCAGGAGTTTGAGACCAGCCTGGCCAATATGGTGAAACCCTGTCTCTACTAAAAATACAAAATTTAGCCTGGCATACTGGTGCGTGCCTGTAGTCCCAGCTACTTAGGAGGCTGAGCCAGAATGGCTTGAATGTGGGAGGCGGAGGTTGCAGTAAACCAAGATCGCGCTACTGCACTCCAGACTAGGACACAGGGACAGAGCGACAGAGCGAGACTCCATCTCAAAAAATAATAAAAAAATAAAATAAAAAGAATCCATCAGCTTTCCAAATGGACCAAACCTTGTCAAGACAGAGCAATAGGCAACTCAGGGTCCCAGGAACACTCACCAGCTGGCAGCCCCTTGGGAAGCTGTTGGGCTTTCCACCTGTTCTGCTTGTTGGGCACATGCTGGCTTAGATGCCCTCTTACAGCTGCAGGCACTGTGGCGTGATCCTCACCCCTGAGGTTGTGTGGGAGGAGAGGAAGCAGCCCTGTGCACACAGGGAATGAGTCATGGATTTTGCAGTGAGATATGGCAAGCAGATTGTTTACCTTGGACTCTTGGCAGTGCCGTGGCTCTGAGGAAGCTCTCTGCACCTACACACTCTAGGAAGAGTGTTTCTCCACCTCAGTGGTCTCTATTTTGACAGCCTTTTATTTCTTTACAGTCATTACATACCTTTAAGTTAGCACTGGGTCATGTCTATTCTCACTTACATGATTGTATCAGTCAGGGTCCAATCAGGAAACAGAAACTGCCCAGATTATCTAAAACAGAGGATATTTAATTCAAGAAAGTGGCAATGCATGATGGAAGAGGCTGAGAAGCCAAGCAGCAAATACACAGTCAACATGGTGATGAGCAACTTCAGGAAGCCTCTTATCTCACCTAGGTAGGGTAAGGATAAGAGGAGGAGGTGGGCCAGGTGTGGTGGCTCATGCCTGTAATACCTGTACTTTGGGAGGCCGAAGTGGGTGGATCACCTGAGGTCGTGAGTTCGAGACCAGGCTGGCCAACATGGTGAAAGCCCATCTCTACTAAAAATGCAAAAATTAGCCAGGCCTGGTGGCACGCGCCTATAATCCCAGCTACTCAGGAGGTTGAGGCAGGAGAATCGCTTGAACCCAGGAGGCAGGGGTTGTAGTGAGCCGAGATTACGACATTGTACTCCAGCCTGGGCAACAAGAGCAAAACTCCATTTCAAAAAAACCGAATAAAACAAAGCAAAAATACAAAGAGGAGGAGGTGGTGTCACTTCTGGATGTCTCTGTCCAAGGCAGAGAGGAAGGGAGAGATAGACCCTGGATTCTTTCTACCCTCTGCTCTCTGACCTCCCAGTAGTATCTTCCATTGACTAAACCAGCTGGAGGCAAGGTGACAGCAGAGTTTGGGATTCAGAGCCTTCAGAAGTCAGAGCCCTGCCACACCCAGCAGAGCAGGGAAGGGGAAGGCATGGCTCTGGGGACAAACTGCTCTCAGCCAGCATAGTCATCTGTGCCCAAGGTTAGCCTTGCTCTGCAATTTACGATGTACAGTTTTTAATCTAACCTTCCTGCATACCTTTTACACATCTAGCTGGTATAATTCATCCTTCCAGTCACATTACTCATGCCTTTATTTTAGAGTTTGTGTATCTGTTGAATTATCTTGGAGATTACACAGGAATAACCAGCACTCAATCAGCTCACTGGTGTTTGGAACTCATAAGTAATAATTGTGTCACTCGCTACCTTCACAGCTAAGGAAGCACTTTCACATATGTGAGACTGGTTTATTCTCATGCAGCTCTGGAATAGTTATTATTATTCCCACTTTGTAGACAGATTCTCTGAGTCTTGGACACTTTGTTTGAATTCCTGCAGAACAAACAATGAATAACAGAGGCAGAATTCAAACTCTGTTCTGTTTGGTTCCAAACTCCATAATCTTCCCATGATATCCTGCTGCTTCCTGCCAGAAGGACCTGCCCAGGGCCACAGCAAGTTTTTCTGGGCTGGTGTGCTGAATTTAGGAGGAAGAAGAGGATATGTTTTAAACTTGCAAAATTCTTGATGACCCATAAATTAAAATGCCCCTCCTGGATGTGACACGTGGCCTATCTTGCCTTCCAATCTGAAGGTTACTTTCTCGCTGAAGGACCTACACTCTTTCCGCTTACACATCTAGATTCAGTTCTTCAATATACAGGGCTTGCTGTTCTAGAAAGATCGAAGTCGGCCAGGTACAGTGGCTCACGCCTATAATTCCAGCACTTTGAGAGGCTGAGGCAGGCAAATCATGAGGTCAGGAGTTCGAGACCAGCCAGGCCAACATGGTGAAACCCCGGTTCTATTAAAAATACAAAAATTAGCCAGGTGTGGTGTCAGGTGCTTGTAATCTCAGCTACTTGGGAGGCCGAGGCAGGAGAATCACTTGAACCCGGGAGGCGGAGGTTGCAGTGAGCCAAGACTGTGCCACTGCACTCCAGCCTGGGTGACAGAGTAAGACTTCGTCTCAAAAAAAAAAAGAAAGAAAGAAAGATCAGAGTCACAGAAGTGGGTACCAACCCATGCCTGACAGAGGCAGGCAGGGAGGAAAGGAGGGTTCTTATCTCCCCATTTCCTGTCAATAAAATTCGGGATGCACAGTGAAGTTTGAATGTCAGATAAACAATTTGTTGGTATAAGGATGTATCTAGCATTGAAATGATGCCTTGTAATTTGCTAAATCTGAAACTATGCAGCCTTATTTCATAGTGGGCAGTGATGGTGATCCCAGGTTTCAGAGGAAGGGTGCTGGGGAGATCCTGAGGTCAGGAGCCCATACAGCTCTGCTTTTGCCCTCTATGCCCTGTGCCAGCCACAAGGTAATGATTCCTGTGCGGGTGCAGAGGTGGGTCTGGGAGGGGATTCCCAGTGTCTGGCAAGTTCTGGTGAATTCTGCATTGGAGGTTCTCTCTGTAGTAAGGGAGTTGGCCTGGCCTGAAGTGAAAGCTGACTTACCCAGTTTCACTTAGCTCTTCAGCTAGTCTGTTTTCCCTGGTGAGCATTCAGATCTCAAGAAGAAGGTAAAATGAGCCTTCAGGATACCTAAATGCATTTGAAGAAAGGAAAGAGGAGGGGTGGAGGAGGGCTTACATGTGCCCAGCGAAAGGCCCTTGAGTAGCTGGAGTGGACAGGTGGGGTGAGCTGGTGCTGCGGGCCCAGGATAAGGTCGGAGGGTGGACACGGGGCCTCGGGTGGATGTCAAAGAAGGGGACAGAATGGAATGCTCTTGCCTCTGGGTCTGCAGAATGCAGAGCTGGGGCGTGCACCGGGTGTCAGGTCCCCAGCAGGGCAGCAGTGAATGCAGCCTCACTGTCGGGAGAAACTGCCCCGCACACTCATCAGGAGCTCAGGGAGCGAGGTGGGGCTGCTCTCAGCTCTACCGCTAAGGTCATCCGCAACCTCAAGTAAGCAGGCAGTATCGCTGGGTCTTTGTGCACTTAACAAATGTGATGGTGGGAGATATATTGCATTTCCCTTATGGCTCCTCTTATTTCTGAATCTCTCCTGGTAGGTATGTAATTTCAAGCCTTCTCATGACTGCTGTTCTGTGTGCACTGGCCAGGCAAGAGGGCTGGCAACCACATTTCATTAATCATCTTTATTCTATCTGAAGATTGCTTCTTCATTTTCCCCTCCATTTTCTCCCCTATCCAGGCAAAATATCAAAACTCTTCTTTTCTTTTGAGACAGAGCCATAGGGAAATGCAATATATCACCCAGGCTGGAGTGCAATGGCACTATCTCAGCTCACTGCAACCTCCACCTCCCAGGTTCAAGCGATTCTCCTGCCTCAGCCTCCTGAGTAGCTGGAATTACAGGCGGGTGCCACCACGGCCAGCTAATTTTTGTATTTTTAATAGAGACAGGATTTCACCATGTTGGTCTGGCTGGTCTCGAACTCCTAACCTCGTGATCTGCCCGCTTCAGCCTCCCAAAGTGCTGAGATTACAGGTGTGAGCCACCATGCCCAGCTAAACCTCTTTTTCAAAGGGCCCCAGTCAAATGAGTTAACCAAAGATATCAATGCTTTTGTAAAAGCTGCCTGTCAGCAAGATGATTAGTAACTCTGTGGGACAGAGGCTACGATTCATATTTCAGTCTCAGTTCAGTCTTCCAACTATTCATTCATTCACTCAGCAAATACTTCCTGAGCTCATGGGATGCATCAGGGTGACTGGAGCTGGAGGCAGAATTACAAAATATGGGAAACTCCAGGTGACTGGAAACCTGGTTACTCAAGCTTTTGCTTCTCCCTTTGTGCTGGACTCACTGAAGTTTAGTGTTCAGCCACCCATCCATCAAATGGTAAGAGGCAAAATGAAATTGAGTTCTTGTCAACAGTTTCAGTGAAAGGCTGGAAGGTTTGGCTAAATGGAGGCATTTGAGTAACCTGTGGGTTACATCTCTATGGAGCTGTGAGCTCTGCAGAGCTCCAAGACCACATAGAATTGGAACTGGCTCCTTTTCCCAAGAATACAAAGCAGCCCTCTGGGATGGCCTTCTCTTACTTGCTTCTTCCTTGCTCTCTGTCCACAGGGCTGCCCTTGAGATGGAGTTGTTGCCCTTTTGGCTCTGCCTCGGTTTTCACTTCTTGACAGTGCACTGGAGGAACAGAAGTGGAACAGCCACAGCAGCTTCCCAAGGGGGCTGCAAGTTGGTGAGTTTTCCCTTAAACCTTGATTTGTCAGTTGCTCCTGTCCTGACAAGGTTTGGTCCATTTGGAAAGCTGACAGATTGTCCATCAGGAAGGGCAGAGAATGAAGAAGGCTGAATCACTCTGTGCATGCCTAGCACAATGCCATGTGCAGCCGCTCTTTAACCACAGGATTTTAAGATGCTGCCTGAGAAAAGCCAGGCAGTCCCTGCCCCACCCCTCTCATATCTGCTGAGGACAGGAGGCATCTGAGACCAGCCTAGGGCAGCCTCCTGGAAAAAGAACAACTTGTTAAAAATCTGGATGATTCAGGTTGGGTGCAGTGGCTCATGCGTGTAATCCCAGCACTTTGGGAGGCTTAGGCAGGCAGATCACTTGAGCCCAGGAGTTCGAGACCAGCCTGGGCAACATGGCAAAACCACATCTCTACAAAATACAAGAATCAGTCAGATGTGGTGGCACGCACCTATAGTTCCAGCTACTCTGCAGGCTGTGGTGGGAAGATGGTCTGAGCCGGGGAAGTGGAGGTTGCAATGAGCTGAGATCATGCCCCTGCCCTCCAGCCTAGGTGATAGAGCCAGACCTTGTTTTAAAAAAAAAAAAATGCCAGGAGTGGTGGCTCACACCTGTAATCCCAGCACTTTGGGAGGGCAAAGTGGACGGGTCGCCTGAGGTCAAGAGTTCGAGACCATCCTGGCCAACATGGTGAAACCCCGTCTCTACTAAAAATACAAAATTTTGCCGAGTGTGTTGGCACACGCCTGTAGTCCCAGCTACTTGCAAGGCTGTGGCAGGAGAATTG